AACGTAATCCGTATGTTGTAGTATATAGATAACAACACGTACGATAAACGGAACGTAATCCGTATGTTGTAGTATATAGATAACAACACGTACGATAAACGGAACGTAATCCGTATGTTGTAGTTTATAGATAACAACACGTACAAGAAATAGTGCATCATACAGTTGTCCACAGAGTTGGATACCGTTCTGATTTGTGAAATACTATTCAAAACTTACGAGTTACCTCCCTTTGAACGATCAGCACTGTATATTTTTGCATAGCTGTTTCAGAACAATTATTTTTTACCATTTATCACTTCAAAGATTTTGTTTAGGTTAAGGTTTGATTTGACGATGTTGCACCAATAATTTTATGCAGAAACGCTAATATTTGTAGGTTCGTTCCTCTAAGATCCCCTACGGAGCCCCCGAAGGGACATGGTAAAACATTTACTAAACCGTGCGCACGGATTACCAAACCGTGCACACGGATTGACAAACCGTGCGCACGGTTTGTCAATCCGTGTGCACGGTTTGTCAATCCGTGTGCCCGGTTTGGTAATCCGTGCGCACGGTTTAGTAATCCGTGCGCACGGTTTGGCAATCCGTGTGCACGGTTTGTCAATCCGTGTGCACGGTTTGGTAATCCCTGCGCACGGTTTAATAATCCGTGTGCACGGTTTGTTAAACCGTGCGCACGGTTTAGTAAATGTTTTACCATGTCCCTTCGGGGGCTCCGTAGATCCCGGTGTTTGTTATCCATTAAAGATTCAGACAAATAGAAATGCTGGTATGCAAAATTTGTAATACACAAACTGGTACTTAACATTTTAAACATTTACACATACAGTTTTGCATGACATTTCCATATACATATTATCACAGGACATTTACATTTACATAATCGCAGGACATTTGTACATACACAATTATATGACATTTATAGGCATACATACCTATACAGCCATAGGGCATTATATATATTCTTAATTACGTGTCATTTACATATATAATTGAGAACAGTTACATGACATTTATATATATACACAATTACATTACATGTATATGTATTTACTGTTACATGACATTTATATATATACACAGTTACATAACGTGTATATGTATTTACTGTTACATGACATTTATATATATATACACAGTTACATTACATGTATATGTATTTACTGTTACATGCCATTTATATATATACACAGTTACATTACATATTTATGTATTTACTGTTACATGACATTTATATATATACACAATTACATTACATGTATATGTATTTACTGTTACATGACATTTATATATATACACAGTTACATTACATGTCATATACATATAATAAATATATAGACATATACATGTATGGTCAGTGTATTTATATATATAAATACCCTGAAAAGCCCTGTGAAGGGTGAAATCTGCTTGTTTTTTAGTCGCTCGTTAGATCTTATTTTTTCCAAACTTACCTACTTCACATGGACATTCAATTCTTTTTTTGTATTATGAATACTCAGTTACATGACATTTGTTACATGACATTTGCATATCTATAGAGCAAATGACCTTCATAATACACAGTCACATTGCATGTCTATACGTTTCATACTGTCTATAACAGGTGTCTGTAACACGTGCCTGTAATACTTGTCTATAACACGTGTCTGTAATACGTGTCTATCACACGCGACTGTAACACGTGTCTTTAACACGTGTCTGTAATACGTGTTTATAACATCTCTCTGTAATATGTGTCTATAACATCTGTCTGTAATACGTGTCTTATAACACGTGTCTGTAATACGTGTTTATAACATCTGTCTGTAATACGTGTCTTTAATATCTGTCTGTAATACGTGTCTATACCATCTGTCTGTAATACGTGTATATAACATCTGTCTGTAATACGTGTCTATAACATATGTCTGTAATACGAGTATATAACACGTGACTGTTATACATGTCTAAAACATCTGTCTGTAATACGTGATTTTAACACGTAACTGAAATATGTGTATATTACACGTGACTGTAATACGTGTCTATACATTGTAGCACGTGTGTTTAACACGGGTCTATTACACGTGACTGTTATACGTGTTTATAACATCTGGCTTTAACACGTATCTGTTACACGTGACTGTAATATATGTCTTAAACACATGTAATACGTGTCAATATAGGATCAAGTGAGCTGTTAACAAATCATTCAGGGTCAAGTTAGCTGTAAACAAATCATTCAGGATCAAGTTAACTGTAAACAAATCATTCAGGATCAAGTGAGCTGTAAACAAATCATTCAGGGTCAAGTGAGCTGTAAACAAATCATTCAGGGTCAAGTTAGCTGTGAACAAATCATTCAGGATCAAGTTAACTGTGAACAAATCATTCAGGATCAAGTTAAATGTGAACAAATCATTCAGGATCAAGTTAGCTGTAAACAAATAATTCAGGATCAAGTTAGCTGTAAACAAATCATTCAGGGTCAAGTTAGCTGTAAACAAATCATTCAGGATCAAGTTAACTGTAAACAAATCATTCAGGATCAAGTTAATTGTGAACAAATCATTCAGGATCAAGTTAACTGTGAACAAATCATTCATGATCAAGTTAGCTGTAAACAAATCATTCAGGATCAAGCTAGCTGTAAACAAATCATTCAGGATCAAGTTAGCTGTAAACAAATCATTCAGGATCAAGTGAGCTGTAAACAATTCATTCAAGATCAAACTAGCTGTAAACAAATTAGTAGATGTTTTGAAATAAAATAAAACTAGGACCTAATGCGATGTAAACAGCATCAAGGACTCTATTTAAAGACAATATGACCTTAACAACAAGGATCGAGGAAAGACGCTGTGAACTTCTCAAACAGGACTAAGGGCTGTGAACTTCTCAAACAGGACGACGTTGTGAACCAACAGGAAAAAATAACTGTGTACTTTATGAATCAGTGTGAAATTGGCGTCCTGTTGTTATGTTATTGAACAGGGTGAAATGAGTGCTGCATCGACTAAAGTCACATCATAGTGTCCCTACTATCACTGAAGTGTAACGAACACGTTGGTTGGTTGGTGCAAGTAGTGTACGAACGCCTCGACAGAGACTAAAATAATCTAATGCATCGAATATATAGATTGTGTTTTAAATGTTTCAATACTACCCATAGAGGAAAAGTCATAATCATTATGCCAGTTCATTTTTTCAGACATGATAGCTGCTCTATTTCCCTGTCTAGATAGGAGTGAATGAATCGATTATCTCTTTCAGTTAATTTAAAACATTTGGCTCCTGATATTCCCATTGGAAATGATTTACTTCAATAACCAGTGATTTTCACTTCCTTCGATAGAAATAAGCCAGCCCAACCAGTCTTTATATTTAACATTACTTGACGTAGTTAAGGAAGTCACTAGTAATACTTAAGAAGAAACATCACATACATTTCATATCCTGTCAATTAAAATTTCTTTCTAGAATATAATTTTTCTTAAAGTCACTATAAATTTCTAAAAGAAACACAGCTGTTTTTTATGTTTTGAAAGGTCATGCCTAGAAATATTGCAAGTTCACGACAGATCAAAGTTAAGGACGACTGACGTCATACTACACTGAGGCGGTGACCATTTACATTATAGGAAAAGATTTTCTGATCGAGACTTACAAATGTTACTCTGGTATAGAGGTAAAAAAAAATCTGTACGATTTGTGTTATATTGTGTTTTAAACTTGGAAGAAGCATCGGCGAATCAAAAACAAATATTCTTCGAATTTTTTATTTTGTTAAATAAGTTTTTGTGAAGTCGCCTCTGTTGTGTATGAGGGTGGTACATGGTGTATCGGTGGTAGGGGTCGTCTCCGTAGTGAATGAGGGTGTTGCATAGTGTACCGGTGGTATGGGTCGTCTCTGTCGTGTGTGAGGGTGATACATGGTGTATCGGTGGTAAGGATCGTCTCCGTCGTGTGTGAGGGTGATATATGGTGTACCGGTGGAAGGGGTCGTCTCCGTCGTGTATGAGGGTAATACATGGTGTACCGGTGGTAGGGGCCGTCTCTGTCGTGTATGAGGGTGATACGTGGTTTACCGGTGGTAGGGGTCGTCTCCGTCGTTTAAATAAGTTTTTGTGAAGTCGCCTCTGTTGTGTATGAGGGTGATACATGGTGTATCTGTGGAAGGGGTCGTCGACGTCTCCGTCGTGTTTGAGGGGGTTACATGGTGTACCGGTGTAAGGGGGCGTCTCCGTCGTGTATGAGGGTGATCTATGGTGTACCGGTCGTAGGGGTCGTTCCCGTGGTGTGTGAGGGTGATACATGGTGTATCGGTGTAAGGGGTCGTCTCCGTCGTGAATGAGGGTGATACATGGTGTTCCGGTGGTAGGGGTCGTCTCCGTCGTTTAAATAAGTTTTTGTGAAGTCGCCTCTGTTGTGTATGCGGGTGGTACATGGTGTATCGGTGGTAGGGCTCGTCTCCGTCGTGTGTGAGGGTGATACCTGGTGTACCGGTGGTAGGGATCGTCTCTGTCGTGTATGAGGGTGATACATGGGGTATCGGTGGTAGGGGTCGTCTCCGTCGTGTTTGAGGGGGTCACATGGTGTACCGGTGGTAGGGGCCGTCTCTGTCGTGTATGAGGGTGGTACATGGTGTACCGGTGTAAGGGGGCGTCGACGTCTCCGTCGTGTTTGAGGGTGGTACATGGTGTACCGGTGTAAGGGGGCGTCGACGTCTCCGTCGTGTTTGAGGGTGTCACTTGGTGTACCGGTGGTATGGGTCGTCTCTGTCGGGTGCGAGGGTGATACATGGTGTACCGGCGGTAGGGGGCGTCTCCGTCGTGTATGAGGGTGATACATGGTATACCGGTGTAAGGGGTCGTCTCCGTCGTGAATGAGTGTGATACATGGTGTACCGGTGGTAGGGGCCGTCTCTGTCGTGTATGAGGGTGATACGTGGTGTGCCGGTGGTAGGGGTCGTCTCCGTCGTTTAAATAAGTTTTTGTGAAGTCGCCTCTGTTGTGTATGAGGGGGGTACATGGAGTATCGGTGGTAGGGGTCGTCTCCGTCGTTTAAATAAGTTTTTGTGAAGTCGCCTCTGTTGTGTATGAGGGTGATACATGGTGTCCCGGTGGTAGGGGTCGTCTCCGTCGTGTTTGAGGGTGTCACATGGTGTACCGGGGGTATGGGTCGTCTCCGTCGTGTGTGAGGATGATACATGGTGTACCGGTGGTAGGAGTCGTCTCCGTCGTGTATGAGGGTAGTACATGGTGTACCGGTGGTAGGGGCCGTCTCTGTCGTGTATGAGGGTGATACATTGTGTACCGGAGGTAGGGGTCGTCTCCGTCGTGTATGAGGGTAGTACATGGTGTACCGGTGGTAGGGGCCGTCTCTGTCGTGTATGAGGGTGGTACATGGTGTACCGGTGTAAGGGGGCGTCTCCGTCGTGTATGAGGGTGATCCATGGTGTACCGGTGTAAGGGGTCGTCTCCGCCGTGTATGAGGGGGATACATGGTGTATCTGTGTAAGGGGTCGTCGACGTATCCGTCGTGTTTGAGGGTGTCACATGGTGTACCGGGGGTATGGGTCGTCTCCGTCGTGTGCGATGGTGTTACATGGTGTACCGGTGGGAGTGGTCGTCTCCATTGTGTGAGAGGGTGTTACATGGTAGGGGTCGTCTCTGTCGTGTATGAGGGGGATACATGGTGTATCTGTGTAAGGGGTCGTCGACGTCTCCGTCGAGTTTGAGGGTGTCACATGGTGTACCGGGGGTATGGGTCGTCTCCGTCGTGTGCGATGGTGTTACATGGTGTACCGGTGTGAGGGGTCGTCTCTGTCGTGTATGAGGGTGATACGTGGTGTACCGGTGGTAGGGGTCGTCTCCATTGTGTGTGAGGGTGATACATGGTGTACCGGCGGTAGGGGGCGTCTCCGTCGTGTGTGAGGGTGATATATGGTGTACCGGTGGAAGGGGTCGTCGACGTCTCCGTCGAGTTTGAGGGTGTCACATGGTGTACCGGGGGTATGGGTCGTCTCCGTCGTGTGTGAGGGTGATATATGGTGTACCGGTGGAAGGGGTCGTCTCCGTCGTGAATGAGGGTGATACATGGTGTTCCGGTGTAAGGGGTCGTCTCCGTCGTGTATGAGGGTGATACATGGTGTATCTGTGTAAGGGGTCGTCGACGTCTCCGTCGTGTTTGAGGGTGTCACATGGTGTACCGGTGGTATGGGTCGTCTCCGTCGTGTGTGATGGTGTTACATGGTGTACCGGTGGTAGTGGTCGTCTCCATTGTGTGAGAGGGTGATACATGGTGTACCGGTGGTAGGGGTCGTCTCTGTCGTGTGTGAGAATGTTACATGGTGTACCGGTGGTAAGGTCGTTTTGTGACGAAATGTTAAGTTACGTCCGCTTATCATGCTCATCTCCACCTATCTTCGGTAGATTTTCGGAGGTTCAAAGCACAAATGAAAGTCGTAAAATTTTTAATTACAGCAGAGAAGATGATCGTGAATGATTGTTGTCCTAGGACGTTCGTCACCATATACGTTTTCCGTAGTCCATTTACTCCTCCCAAAACAGATAGCCTCTAATCCTAGTGCGAAACAGCCGCAGTATCTACAAATGTCTTGATTTATAGGAGAAATACTCCATTTAAAATATTTTTATCTTTAATTTCAATCATCTGCACCAGATAGAAATGTTTAATCTCATTCCGTAGAGGCTAAAGTTACGAATTATTGCAACAGGTGACATTTGCATTATTTGCTGCTAAATTTTGCATACATTAATTTTGTTAGTTTTGTACAATTAAGATCTTAATTTCAACATGTATCCGTGTGTACGTGAAGGAACATTCTCAAGCTATTGAAAAGTGACGTTACTATCCCATCATTGTTGCTATGTGAAGATAACAGAATGTCATAATAATGTTGGTCAGATACAGCATAAAACTTTTTTTGTCAGTTATCAATCAATTATTATATATTGTTATTAATCATTGATGTTCGTTGTAAAAAAAAAAAAAATGTCAGCATAATATTGACCTATTTTTAGATCCTCGATGTGACAACCTCTCGTTGTTTAGTTTGTCCCTGACCCCTGCAGATTATCCCAGGATTATTACATGATTGATATCCATAACAGGCTCGGTCTATCGGCCCAGTCCTCCATGGGTCGAACTGATCCCTAGTTATCCTTTAGGTTGGTCCGGTGGCGCAGTCGATAGCACATTTGCCTTGTGATCAAGACGACCGGGGTTCGACTCCCTGATCGGGGGTGAAAAGGTATTGGGTCACCTAATCCACATAGTGCGTTTCCTCCGGACAATCCGGGTTCCCACATTAAGAACCTTTGCGTGCTTCCAAATGGTGCAGAGTTTATATGGTATAGGGTCAGTGAGAGAATAAACAACCAATGATGTGTGTGGTTAGGTACATATTATAAACATGTAAGGTCAGCTGAAATGATCTAAAACCTGATTAAAATCAATGTAGTTTATTTTGTGACTTCATGTTTTATCGCATTTCAGAAAAATTGAGTAATAAAAAGTTTTCATTTTCTACACGACAGTAGGAGCAATTACTGAAAATATATGCATCCCTACTTTCATACAAAGTTTTAACACGAACAAGATAAGAAAAATAATTTTTAAAAAATATAGCAAATGTTTTAAATACGGGTATGTTTACGACAGAGTTATGGATGTTTTATTCATAAAGGAGTAATTGTTGGTTAAATGGGCGGAAATCGGTTTGTTTGATGTTCGATGGTATCATCCTCTGGTTTGTCACGTGATACAGAACATCTTTATACCGAGATTATCAAGTATCTAAATCAATTACATTTTGAGTCCTAACCTACCGAACGTTCCCATGCTTTACAAAACCTTCCTAAGTACTATACAAATATTGACACCTATGCTGTTTGTGTAAGACTCTTCTTATAGGTATTAAAGATTTCCGGTTTAGTGCAGCAAACACTGCTTCACTGCTGCAAACCCGTTTTTGGATTATTTCAGAGTTGTCTCCCTTCCTCCGTATCTGAAGCGATATATGACGCACTGTTTATTTATTACATTGTTACAAAACAACTATTAATATTGTTTGTTTTTCAGAATACATATTATTTACTGGCAAAATTCAATCGCATATTTTAAGTGAATTTTTCACTTTGACTTCTGTTACAAATAACACCCTTTTGATCTACATTATTAATCAAATAAGCGTTTCTGACCTTGTTTCAAAAATAACTATCTGCTGCCACTAAAAAACATTGTTTATTAATTATAACGAAGAGGACGTCTTATAAGTTGTTTTAACTTGTGTTCAAGCCTTTTTGATTACATGTATATTGAAAAGTCGTATACACAAAACTTTATGTTATGCATTTAAATATGTTTGGAGTTCATAGTTTGGTTATATTTTAGAAAGATTTATTTGTATAGAGGTATTTTAAGGTTCGGTACCATTCACCGATTCCACAAAATGTTACTGTCAGTTATAAAAATGGTGCTTTAATTATATAAAGTCATTATTACAAATATAGTTGAGAGGAATTGATATGTTCTCCTCTATTGTAAACTACAGGTTTAATTGTATACAACTAAAACAATTAACAATAGTAGCATCACTACCAGCATACTTAACAAAGTGAGTGTGAAAGGGAATGCAAGAATATGTCCAGATAGAGAGTAAGGATGTGATGTTAACGGTATAACATCGAAGAAGAATGAGGTATACAAGTTGAGTGTGGATAAATGTTGCAAATTAAACAATATGACTTTAAAAAGGGAAAATACTGACAATGAAAAATAAAAAAAATAAAAAATATACGATATGTTCTCCTGTTCGTAATATTTACCGAAAAACAAATGTCGCAAAATATTTCAACCTGGATTTTATTTACATTGATCATGGACCCAGTCATTGTATATCGAATACATTATGTAGCTGTAAGTTTATGTCCTGTCTCAGCTGACTGGAACTGATAACATGTATCTATCATTTTCATAAAAATATTACCTGAAATATTAATTGTGTCAGAGGTATAAAAAGAAACATATTCCAACTCATTGTTTTCGTCAAGGATATGAACGTCAGGAAGTCCTGCTGTCGCGGGCAATATGTCTGTCTTCTGACGCTCAGCGGTACGTATTACAGTGAATACAAGATTGTAACAAAATATCTGGAATATCAATTTTCTATATACAAAGTGCTGTAGTCTGCTATATCAATTTTAAGTTCCAGAAATACACATGTAAATCAGCCTATAGTTCCCGTGACATTTATATCGTGTGATATAAACTATAAATGTGGTACTGATGATCATGTAATATCTCTCTGTTCTCACTGTCTGTAATACTAGAGTAGTTTGTGGTACAATGAAATGAACACTGTTTTTAATAATTTTGACTGTAAAGTATCTGTATTTACATAAAAATTACCGGCTCGTAGAATTAAAGTGTGAGAACAATTCTCATTTGCGGCTAATGGACATTTTATCAGGCGACCAATCAGATATCACATTGGTTAAGTGTAACACTTAATCTAAATATAGAATGTAACAGCAAAAAGCCAAAGCGTAAAGGTGGTGGCACCTGAGGTTACGTCAGTCAAACATTTGGAACTTCAGGTTATAGATTAACACCGAAATTCTGTGGACTCAGTTGTGAGAATCTTTAATTAGCGTCGCTAACTTATAAACAAGGAACATTAGCTCTGATTATTGCGAAAACCTATTAATAAAATAACAATAACACATTATAGTATCACATATGAAGGTTATCAAGTTATAAAAATATTTTAAAAGTGGAATAGCAATCGCAGTTTATACAGTGCACATATAATCAAATATCGCAAATATACAGTTTTTAAGTTAACAGATACATTATCTTTTACGTAAACACGAATTATATTAAGATTGAACACATGTTAATGAGCATGGTGTCTACTACAAGAAAGTGATTAAAAAACACAACCGATACATCAATGATAGCAAAGCAGATAATCAAAATTGACAGAAAATATCCTGATATAACCGAATTAGCACAGAGCAGTTGAGTGGATGTGCCCTGCCTAACTCACTGACCATAACACTGAAAGACATTTTAAATTTGAACTTCCTCAATTAATACTGAAAATTAATTCAACACAATAATATTTAGAAATAAAATGTGTACCCGAAAATACCCATACTACTACATTGATAAACAGCGCTCGGTAAGGAGGTGATTGGGTATGTTGGGTAAGGAGGTGGTGGGGATGTTCGGTAAGAAGGTGATTGGGTAAGTTCGGTAAGGAGGGGATTTGGTTTGTTGGGTAAGGAGGTGGTGGGGATGTTCGGTAAGGAGGTTATTGGGTATGTTCGGTACGGAGGTGATTGGGTATGATCGGTAATGAGGTGACTGGGTATGTTGGGTAAGAAGTGATTGGGTATGTTGGATAAGGATGTGATTGGGTATGTTCGGCAAGGAGATGATTGGGTTTGTTCGGTAAGGAGGTGATGGGGTATGGA